TCATTCGCTGCAACACCATCTTAATGGGAAAACGTATGCAAATGTGGAAGGTGTTAAAGAGGGCATTGACATGTTTTTTTTTGCTCCAAAGCCATGTGATTTTTTTAATCAGGGCATTAGCAACCTGATTGGAAGCTGGAAAAGCATTATCAATAACAATGGAGATTATTTCATTTAAAAAAATTTTTGTTTTGATATATAATTTGTTTGGGGTTTTTCATCTAAAAAACAACATCAATTTCTTGATGACATAATACTATATTTTTGTTTGCTTGTCATGCATATCCTTTATTATAACAGTAACTAGAATATAAAAATCAGAAACTTAGAATGTTAGAATAGGTAAGAAAAAGAAAAAACAATAATAACTGTTCTTCACAAGGTATGTTTGCAAGCAGCTCCTGCATTATGAAATTCAATACACTAACATGAGTTACACATTTCCAGAGTGATTCACAACTTGTATGGTGGGATTATTAGTCAGACATGATTCAAAGAAGAATAAAACAAAATTTAATAGAAGCAGATGTATACAGTTAGTTTTGAGCTATTTAGGATAAACAACTGTAGTTTCCCATTACAATTCGCAGCCATTCAAAAAAAAAAGAAAACAGAGTAATTTAGATTTACTTGATAATATTTTAATGATGGTTACAAAGTTGGTCAGATCAAATGCATATAGAGCTAGGGTAGGGAAAACATGTAAAATATATTGTATCTAAATTTAAAAAAATATATATTTATTTAAGAGGTTTATGGTCATGCAAATAAAGAAAAGTATATTTTATCTTGACATGATAATCACTGTTTCTGTAATACTAATTTTTTAATGGATTGAATGAACCTTTTTTACATGTTTTTCTTTTGGAATTATAATGAAAAAGAAGGAATGACCTTTGAAAAATACTTTATTGATCAGTTAAAAATTTAAATATTTTTTAAATTTAAAGTCATTAGGAGTCAAGATGTTTATACGTAATAAAGTTTGAACTGGTAGAGAAAATGTACAGAAAATGTAATATGATACATCATTTGATGGATTAAAACCTTTGCTTCCTACTGGCTATAAACAATATGGTATTAAATGTTAGAGAGAGCTACTGGCAATTTTTGAAAGAGGATGTGACAGGTGAGTTTTGCAAGAGGGGTCTGTTTTTCTAGTTTAAGGTTCCCTAAACAAATAAGATTGAGGGGTTTTAAAAATTATGCTTTGCCTGGGCAATGACCACATTATAATGAGTAATTTATGTTAAATTTTGTACTTCTCATATTGGGGACAATTCAGGATTTTGTTTTTAATACTGCCATATACAATTAAGAACTTAAAACTGTATACTATAAAAATTTTAATTTCTAGTTGTTTATTCATATGCCACAATAAAGTAGTTTAAATTTTGAACGTAACTCACTAAAACCTCATGACATGCACAGAAAAAGATGAGCATATCAAAAGTGTTAATTGTTTTCTGGTTTTTATAGTTCTTATATTGAAGGACAGTACTTGGTAAATAAGTTTGGTAAAAATGAAAGGATTTGAGTTTTCCTATATACGTTTCAAAATTTTTAGTATCTTTTGCACAATTATTTTTCTGTTTGATTGATTTACTTTTTTTTCAAATCTACTACACTTAATAAACAACAGTGTATTTTGATCAGACAAAATTATTTATATTTCATGGTTACAAAGTGTTATCTTTGTTACACTATTGTAGTTTTATCCTGGTAACACTTAACTCTTTCTATATGGGGTCGGTGGATTACACCAACCTTGTAACCCAAAAAGAACTATCAGTTTCCATACTATAACATTTAAATGGGTACAGGTATCTTCAAAATATTTGGCAAAATTTCAGTAAACAAGTCTTTTGTACACAAAAATATGATTTTTTTAATAAAGTATTTTTCTACTAAAGGTTTGTCCATGAATACATGGAATCAGAATGTTGACTACTCCAAGTGCAAATTGATTTTTATGTTAAGATTAAAAACACTCTTCTTCATCTGAAAATTTTAAAATTTCATTTGTGTAACCTCCAATACCTTCTAAATAAATATGAAACTTTTTTTTCTTCAGTTAACCTTTATACTTTATGTTATTTTATGTATCCTAACTCTGTATGGACTTCATCATTTTAACCAACCTTGTAATAAAAATATGAAGTAAATCAAAATTTCCCTTTTTCTAGAATGACTGCAAATACTAACAGGAAACTATATTTGTACTTAATTTTATTGATTTGTTTTTACTCTTTGAACCATGACTAACTAATAATTCTGCCATACAAATTATAAATCACTCGGCAAACGAGTAGCTACTTACCATGTTGAATGACGCAATGTATGAGCTACTCACAAGCATATTTCATAAAGAATTATTATTATCTTTTCACAATCTTACCTAAACTAACCTAATAAATTCCTAATTTATATATTTTAATTAGTTTTATAACAATAAATAAATATACATGAAAAACAAGAAATATGGTACTTATCTTTGACCTACTTTTTTAATACTGATAGTACCAGTATATTAAATTTTTTATTTACTTAAATAATGCACCTAAGAACAACACAATAACAATTCACAAAAAAGCAAACAATGTCCTATAACTATTATAATTTAACTGGCTTTTTAACTATACCATAAGAGCCTTGAAATAATTCCCTAAGCTTCCTGATCTGAACATTGCAAAAGAAACTTTTAAACTGAAGACAAACTAGACATAATATAAAACACCAGAAAGAAGTATTGGTGATTTATGAAAGAGAGGATGTGACAAGTGGGTCTGACTTTTTAATTTGTCTCCATGAAGACTGAAGACTATAAAAATTAAACTATGCTTTAGTAATATCTATATTACAAGTAAGTTACACTAATCTCCATACTTTAGAGAGGGGGTGGTAAATAAATTAGAGAAGAGGGAACACCTAGAAAACAATTGCTGTGATTCTCATACAAGAAGAGATTGAGAATGTATTGTGACATGTGCACTTTTAACCTACCTGTAACAAGAATTGCATAAATAAAGTTACTTAACTCTTTTCATACTCAAACATATTTAATCACAAAAATTAATTTATACAGCATATGCATTCTTTATACTATTTTCAAACTTTGTTATGTATACTTAGAGTTCAATGTAACAATTTTAGAATCAATGATCCATAAAACCATTGTTGCTACACTAGAAGTATTAGAAGTTTGTATACTTTATCATTAAGAATAATCATGCCTGAACACACAAGAATAAAAAGCATCAAGATCAAAGTAAAAACTCCATTACCTCTTCCTCATCCACATCCAAATCTGAAAAACTCTGGTGTGGATTGTTACACTTGTCTAAAAGTTCTTTTGCTAACCGCTTTGTCAAATCACCATTAACAAATGGATGCTGGGCAGATGTTGAAAAAAAGAATAAATTAATTCAGCCATCATAGAGCTACAATGATTAAAACAGGTGGAAAATTCTATTAGAAAATGACTGAAATGTGATAAATATTTATCTTCATCATTTCAATGGAGGTTTCTTTACTGTAGTTAAATTAGTGTTTCTAGACAATAAATTTTGTTATTCATGAGAAATTAGTTTTGACAAGGCATATTTTAATGACTGAAAATACAACAGATAATTAATGTATGGCACATGAATAAAACATTAAAGATATAATTACAGGTTCTTCCTTATTCTTGAAAATAATCTAGTTAAATATCATTTCAATCACTATTACATATTTGCTTTATTCATCATATACATTTTGTTTACTTCTGTATTTTTATTCACTTCTTACCTGAAGTAGTCTTTCTGCTGGTGGTCTTTTCTTTGGATTTTTCGTAAGAGCAACTTTAACAAAATGGTGAAAATTTGGAGACCTAGAAGAAAATAATTAAAAGAAATGCACACAACACAACTACTAGAAACTATAAAATGAGAAACTTGACAGAATTATCAACTAAATATTGAATTCTAATGTTTCAGTTTTAAAATTAGCTTGGTCTCTAATGCTCACTCTCAAGTTCAAAATCTAATAAGGTTTTGAAAAGTGAAGCCATTTCCAGTAATAGTCTAACAACTATGTTTAAAAACCTGGAAGGACAAGGTATGGATTACTTCAAAAATATAAAAAAACATGCACTGGTCCTACACATTTCTTCATGACTGCTTCAACAGTATTCAAATGGACAAAATAAGAAACGTATATGTATAAACAAATCACACATTTCAGATACTTTACACTTTATAATTGTAAATGTAAGCCACTTTAGAGTCCATAATTTTTATATAAAAACACAAAAAGAATGGTTATACATAACCATTTACTACTGCTAGGAAAATAAAACCTAATATTTTTGTGATCAATAAATATACTAAACAAACATACACAAAACATGATTACTTTGTTCATAGACTTAACAATTCTATAAACGTCTACAACAGAGCAGAGTTGTAGTATAATAATGGTTGGAGATGGCTTGAATGGGTAATGAAGAAAAACTTTAATATAAGTTAAACATAACAGCAAATGTACTACGTTTCAACAAGGTTTTGTCATCATCAGGTACTGATGTTACAGTTATAGTATTTCACTGCCAAAAAATACCAATAACAGAGATTTGACTAATCTGTACATTTATTATAAAATCTGAACATACACTCATACAGATTACCTTGTCAATATTCATATGATCAACATACTATTTGGTGTAATAAAACTTTACTTGGCATCATGGGGTGGGCGTCTTTGGAGTCAGTGACAGAAAAGAGCAGAAAAACGCTTAACCTATATGCATTACAAATCTTGACAATTTGTTCATACAGCATTATATGATGCATGGTGGATTTTGTCCTTACCATTTGTTCTTATCCTTAAGTGTAGGTGGTTTAAATCCAGACTTGGACATTAGGAACAGAGCTCTCATTGGATGAAGATCAAACATTGGAGGCTGGAGTTCTGCTAACTCAATGGCTGTAATACCCACAGCCCAGATATCACACTGCTGATTGTAACCACCTTTTCTTTCAACTGCTGCTACTTCAGGGGCCATCCTGGAATAATTAAACATTTGACTTAACATTCCATCCTTCTGTACATTAACTTTTACTTATGTTCCACCATAAAATATGATTTTTAACTTAGTTTTTTTTAAATAATAATAACAACAACAATACTAAAACACAAAGTTAAGGACCATCCTTTAATCTGCAAAATGTTATACAAAAAACACTAATTAAAAGATATATAAATAGGTATTAGCCTGTAACACACATTTTGCTCCCAGGCATATCTATAAATATGGTCTGGATATATATTCCCCAAGATTGTTGTACAAGTATGTCTAAAATGGTTCAGTTGGAAGGATACCTAGATTCTTCACATCAAGTTATCATCTAGAAATAAAACTCTCAAATTTTCTCCTCTCCCCCAATCTATGGAAAGAACCCCCCCCCCCTCCACTTCTAGTTCATCCTTTAGTACTAAAGCATTTTACTTGAAGATTTTTCTGTAGTTATAAATACTTTACCCATGGAACATCTAATAGTTTATCAATATTTCATCAAGGAGATTAATTCATATTAAAATGTTTACAGAGCCATACAGTTTTTTGTTTTTGTTTAGGAGCCTTTATATATAATATATCAAGAAATGAAAGAAAACTAAGTGTACATGAGTAACTAACTACACATACAAAAAGTACTTACCAGTATGGTGTACCAATGAAAGACTTTCTCTTATTTATAGTTGCTGTAATTTGAGCTGACACCCCAAAGTCAGCTGAAAATAAATATTTTTACTTTGGTGTATGCTTGTTTGCACAGTGATTATAACTTTAAACTTTGCAAAGTGAACCTATGAAACTTTATGAAATAATCCCAAATTAGACATCTGCTGAAAACACTTAGGAATTACAGTATGCAAGTAAAAACCAATTTACCTATTACACAATCTAAATCATATTTTCAGTTTATAAAAATATAAAACATCACTTAATCATTAATATAAACTGAATTTATTCATCTGTTTTCATATTACCTTCTTGTGATGCAACCAATTTTCCCTGGCTTCAAAACATTTAACTTTTATAAACTGAATTTGTTGCTGGGCTAAGTATATAAAATTTCTATAAGTACTATATTTTACCACAATTCTTTCATTTAATAATGATAGGACAGATAAAACAGATTTAATTACTATGACTAATATCACCAGTTTGTTCAAGAAGGTTGTTAGTAAAATGTGTTATTCATTAGTAAAAAAATTAGTACCTTTGCATTTACCAAGTTTATATATACTTCTCTGTAACAAGGATATCAACACATCTGTAGTTACTAGTTTCATATCTCCATTCTATGCAAGAAGAATATTACCATATATGTACTTAAATCTTGTCTTTGTCCTATTTAAGGAAGACACTAGCACACTTGTAGTTACTAGTTTCATAATCTCCCACATCCATGAAGATTAGCACATATTTCATTTACAGATTCACATCTCTATCCTACACATTGAGGATATCAGAAAATCTGTTGTCACTAGTTTCATAATTATATCCCATACAAGTAGGATTATCTTACATTATCTCCATTTTATTTCAAGAATGACATTAGCCCAATATTCTACCTTCATTTTTGCAAAGAAAGATATTGGATTATCTGTGCTTACCAAGTTTTACATCTCCATTCTCTGTAAGGAGAATATTAGCACCTTTGATGTCACGATGCATTTTTCCCATTGAATGAAGATATGCCAAACCATTTAGTGTTTCTCGACACATATAGGCTATCTGTATTTCTGTAAGAGGTCCTGTAACTACATAAATAAAAAAAACAATAATAATCAAGCATGCATACTAATTGCTTATCACCATAAGAATATGCATTTAGGTACTTTAAAATTGATCTATAATGAGACTATCTTATAATGTTTGATGACTAAAGTAACGAAAATATTTAAAACAGTATATATATATATATATATACACAGCCCATAATAACACTTTCATTAGACATCAGATAACAGAAGCACAGCACTAAGAGTTTACTACGTGACCTGTTGGAAGCTTATTATACTAAAAGGTCTTGTACGTTTATATGACCATAAGAGGAATATTGGTTACAGACTTACCTTTATTCAACCTAACTTAAATACCAGCATCATAAAGATTGAGGAGCAGTAGTTTTTACTTTCAATCAATTCAATATTCCAAAACAAAAATGCTGAAGATTGTGAAAGTAGGATTTACCTATATTTATTTATTTATAAAAGATTAGAGTTAGTTCAATTAGAACTTGTAGTTAAAGACACTTCTATGAAACAGCTATTACCAAGATCTTCCACAATTAAACACTCAACAATTAGCTATTCTCCCATAAAAAAAGAATCTTTAAGTATAACATCCTTATATACAATCTTATGAATAGCTACATTAAAGTATATGATGTGATAATGAGTGTAAGTCACCTTTCACACATCCTCCTTAAAATCATGTTCACACTAGTAACACTGATTTTGCATCTAACAGTATGTATGGTATGATTCAAGTTAATGGTTTGCATAACTTTAAACAGCAAGTTTCAAAATGCCTTACTCTACTGTGCATATAAGAAACATAAACATGACATCTCCATGTAGATGTTATTCACTGTCTTATCAGCTGCATTACTATATAGCACACCTGGAAGTTCTTTGTCTTGAAAGATAATATAATTTATGCAACACACCCATTACCAGAAATTTTAAGTGTCCAATTTGCTAATTCTAATTTTAATGTGCAAAACAGTAAAATTCTGTGATTATATCACCAAACTTCTATGAAAGCTAATGCTTCATGCAAGAAGTGGCAGCTCCACATTTAGATATTTATTCATTTGAATATAACACCACTTCTGCACTACCAAACAGCTGAGCAATTAATGAAATTTGATAACTGTTTAACCTTCTCATCATGGGCATCCTTTACTGCACACGCCACAAGGATTTTAGTGAATTTCATTCAAAATTTAATTAAACTAATTTTATTTATGTTATACCAATTAGTATAGCATAAAATCATAGCTAATAACTCATATATTAATAGTATATAAGCTTTAAGTTCTTAATTTTATAAGGCAATATTTAAAAAAAAAATCCTTAATTTCTCCTAGTGTAAGAAATGTGACATTTTCTCTAGGCATCCCCTCTTCTCCAATTTATTCACTACCCCTCCAATATGTACACAATTTAACATAAATTACTCATTATAATATTGTTAATGCTCTGGCAAAGCTTAATTTTCATAGCTCATAATCTTGTTTGGTTACAGAACCATCAAATAGAAAATCAGACCCTTCTTGCCACACCTACCTGTCATCCTCTCTTTCAGAACTTGCCTATAGTTCTCTCTTATGTTTAATA